AATCTGAAGCGAAGTAGAGCAGCAGGTCCTGATAGGCTTACCCCTGAGATGTTTAAGGAGGGTGGTCCAGTTTTAACAGTTAGACTGACCGAGATCTTAGGTAGAATCTGCGAACTGGACGTAATCCCATCTGACTGGTCTCAGTCGCTAATTGTCCCAATCTATAAGAAAGGACAAAAGTCCTCTTGTGACAATCACAGGAGAATCAGTCTAACTAATATAGTTTCTAAATTGTTAGCCTCGATTATACTTAGACGTCCAACTAGAGCTCGTGAAGAGCAGACTCGAGAAAACCAGTCTGGTTTTCGACCTGGACGTGGTTGTATATACCACATCTTCACACTGAGACAGGTCCTGGAACACAGACACACATTTAGGCGTCCTACAATAGTTGTCTTCCTGGACCCAAAAGCGGCATTTGACTCAGTGAATCGTGAGGTTCTATGGCAGTGTCTGTCATTGAAAGGTGTACCAAAGAAGTACATTAACCTTATACAAGCTCTCTACTCGAACACCACTGGTCGAGTGAGAGCATATGGCGAACTGTCATCTGAATTCTCTACATCAAGTGGTGTCAGTCAGGGATGTCCACTATGTCCATTCTTGTTTAACTTTGTTGTAGACATCCTCCTAGAGTTTACATTAAGCTCGTCAGATTTTTCAGGGGTTGACCTTCTACCAGGAAAGTCGCTTACTGATCTAGAATATGCCGATGACATAGTTACATTCGGTGAAGACGCTGACAAAATGCAGAGTCTTCTGACTACCATAAGCAACAATGCAAGCATGTTCGGGATGCGGTTTTCCACCTCAAAATGCAAAATGTTGCTTTAAGACTGGGTTGTATCGGCGCTTGAACTAGTGATAGGGAGTGAAGTAGACGAGCGTCCTGATCACTTCACTTATCTGGGGGGTCTGATCAGTGCTGATGGCCTGGTGACTGACAAAATTTCAGCACGGATATAGAAAGCTCGATTTGCTTTTGCCAATTTACGCCGTTTATGGCGTAGGCGAGATATCCGTTCGCTAACCAAAGGACGGGTGTACTGCGCAGCAGTTCGCTCCGTCTTACTTTATGGCTGTGATACATGGCCGTTAAGAGTAGATGTTCGTAGGTTACAAGTATTCGATTATAGATGTCTTAGAAGCATTGCTCGTATATCCTGGGACAACCGAGTAAGCAATGCTGTCGTTAGGAAATGGGTGCTAGGTAATGATGGCAGATCAATAGATGAAGTGGTGAAACTTCATCAGTTGAGGTGGTTGGGACATGTGTTACGTATGCCTAACCACCGACTGCCTCGACGATCTATGTTTTAAGGTGTAGGAGTAGGTTGGAAGAAAGTTAGGGGCGGCCAGACCAAAACATGGCACAAATCCATGAAGTCACTGACAACTGGACTGACTGACTCATGTTGGTAGATGTAGACTACCTGGTTGGGGTCCGCGAGACGATAGTCACCAATGGTTAGAGACCTTGAACGATATGGCTCAAAATCGTTTGCAATCGCGCAAGTGCATCCATTCGTTGTACTCTCTCAAATTGTGATCTTCTGGATTCGTCAGCACCTCTACCTTTGTCTTTCTAACCTTATCTCACTGAATTGTTATTCTTGAATAATATCTTCGAACCCTAGTCTTCTTCATTACCATTAATACGTCTGCTATTTCTATCACTATGGGATTTGATTTGACATTTGCGTCTCTGAGCTGATGTGGTATGGCAACATGAACTTATGAACATACGTACGAAGTTATACGCTGCAACTGACTGACCGATGAATGCGTTATTTTTAAAAGCATTTCCATTGCAAAGCTAAATACAAATCGAGAAAACGGACAATTGCGATAAACACAATCTGCGGTAAGCAATTCCAAAGATAGTTCGCCTTACGTTCTGACTCGACCAATTGTCTTCTACCAAAGAGCCTGTAGAAATCTATTATGCTCCTGTAGTACACCTCTCAATGATAGACACTGCCACTGAACGACAACTATAACCATCCTCAAAACATCATATGTAAGATGGCTGTTGGAATTACCAGATAAGGAACCGCGGACCTACGTTTCATCAGTTTTTGCACTCGTCAGTAAGCTTCGCCTGTAGTCATGACGGAACTAGTCACTACTCAGTGATCCATCCACCGTACATACATTAAAATACACTTGATGCTTATTATTTTGACCTGTTAGTAGGATGAAGAGGAACAGTAAAGAAGAACACTATTCCACTTCCACCATCTAGTAGGTTACACGTTCGAAACCGCTCGGCTTGTCAAAGTTTTGGCATCTAAGCAAGCCAGATTTCACATACCTAAATAACAACGCTCGTTAAGATTTGTCAACTGATATAGCAGAGACACAAATATAAGGTACATCGAATTTCAAAGAACTTCAGTCAGTGAGTTAGTTGCATGCATTCTTTTACCTTAAAATATGTAATAGCTGTCATTACACTAAACGTGTCACTTGTTAAAGATCCAGCTACAAACGAGTCCTTGGATTTATCCTCTAGCCAGCTCACTAACCCACTGATTCATTCACTTTCCAGAACTATAAGTGTCGGTCTCAAATACCACCTACACGTGCAAAACTGGTAACACAAAACATGAACTCACATGTTCTCATTCGGTATCGTAGTATGTCTTCAAATTGATCCATAACTGCTCCTTGATTCTCAAATTCTCTGCAGCAGAAACTTTATTACCGAGCACTATCTCAACAACATCAAACATTTATTTAGAAGTTGACAGATCCTACAATCAACCTGATAGAATTCCAAAGGTCAGATAACTGCATCGCCTTCATCATTTCAGATTTAATATTGTTTTTGCTGACAGAATGAAAGATTTCAAGGGCAGTACAGATATTCAACGGGCAGATTAAAGTATTTCCACACTGACCTAAACACACTAATCAGAATACTGTAACATAAAGCACTCACCATGGAATTATTCCAAGATAAAATTAATCTGTAAATTTCGCGAGAGATGTCAATCCATCCATCTTGTATCAAATCGAAATATGTTAAAATAGTTAGGAGAATAAAGTGTAGATAATGCGAACCGATCAAATTATCTACGCAGCAGTTGCATATTAGGAACTTCAACCTGAGAAAGTTGTAAAATATGGTACAGATAAGTTAGAATGAATTCATAAGAGAGGTAATAATAAGGTTAACTAACTTCGTGGACTTGACAACAGGAAGATCAAATATTCTGATCTTCACTAGTTGATCGCAGTTTTGGCAGTAACGTCATATCCGTTCACCTATATATGAGAGCTGTTTATATCACTGCTAAATCCGTCTTAATATCATCCACGCATTGACGGTGATATCCGAATAGTCAGTGTAATTTCCTTTGACTTTATGAAAGAAAAGCAGGAACGAACAGCAACACGCAAGATACTCAGCAATTACTTTATTCGAAACACATATTGCAAATCAATTAGACATAATAAACAATGACGTGCTGTGAGCATTCTCGCTTATGCTGTAAAGAAGCCATATGCATTTTTCGAGAGGAAAACAAGTTACAGGACCATTACGTCCAACTTCCAGTGTGTTTGAGTCTAGCTTCAAAATACCTCATGTTGACGGATGGTGACTGGTAACGAATAAGAACATTTAAAAGCAACCAGTAACACGACCTAAAGTACAATGAACATAACGAGAGGCGAGCAGACAATTCGGCACGCTCCTGAAAGTGAAGCTACAGTGCTGCATTCCAAAATTTTCACTTACGACCCTCAGTTCCAACTACCAGTTATTCTTCATATTATGCTTGTGTTGTTTCTGATTGATATCGACTAATTTCTCAATCAAATGTATGTGCACCCTTTCGGCTTACAGTCGTCCACTTGCTTTTTCTCTTACTCTTTCCTCTTTCAGATAACCTCATATACGTTTCCTCACACACCCCCATCACACATGGTACTTTGTCGAAAAACGCAAACAAACCAACGACTGAAGGTAATTTTCGGGACAGAAGTCGGTTCCAGTTCTCTCACATTCGGACAGATGCACAGTAAACTGAGACTATGGCACTCTGTGTAACTGAGTACACTTAAGCCACTCCACTTGATGTAATTTATAGGCAAGCTTACCAAATGCTGAATTCACACCACACGAAAACCAACAACGTGTAACGTCAGCCTTTGGTTAGTTTGCGTCTTAACCGAAGGTACCTTGTGTGCTGGGGGGGGATGTGAGGAGCGGTGTATGAGATTATCTGGAAGAAGAAAGAACAAGAGAAAAAGATGAGCCGACGACTCAGTAAGCACATAGAATGCACTTACATACAATATACGAATAAAGCCAGCGTGAGATTACGACAAACTGATAAACGAAACTAAGAGATAATAGGGTTCGGTTTCGAATGCGTTACAAACGCACATTCTCAATAGAGCGGCGATTTTCAACATCCAAGGTCCAATATACAATATTGAAGCTAGTGGAGAAGATTCGTAGCTCGTTACTAGGCAGGAAATCAATCGGTTTCTTCATGGGGAATATTAGAAAGAAAATTCTAATACTAGTAATAAGACTTCAGAACTGTAAATTAATGGACAATTAAGCTAATAAATGGGTAGTGAATATTGTGTGCGAGGAACAATGAGTGAGCTAGGAAAAGGAAACAAAGGTGGGAAGCGAAAAAAGATAGTTTGAGGAAGATGACTACAACAAAGACTATTCGCTGAGGGGACTGTGGTCACCTGGGCTGAGAAATCGTTCCAAGTTGCAACGACTCATGATGAAATGTGTGCCTGAGTATAGATGTACACAATTTGACGCTCGAGGTTTCCAGTATGAACTCGAAGACCGTGGTTGTCATAATTCTGTAAGATGCTGATGTTGGGACGATTTGGAGTGCTGAATATGTTCTATACCGTTATCAGTTCTTTTCCGACTCTTGGTGTGCAAACACTCTGGTTCAAAGGTTTTCTACTGGTCTTTAACCTGAAAATACACTGACAGTTTGCCCTTATTTTTGGCTGCTAGCTCCATCCGGAAGCGTCCTCATTCGCTGTGAACACTGGCATCACAAACGTTTCTCAATTTCAAGTAGAAAATACGTTTCCAATCCATCAGTGAGACCGTCGACTTTCATGAGGCTCTGAGCTTTGCCTGTAGCCAGCGTTCAGTGTCTCGAAAAGCCCAGGTTTGTGTTGTCTCACGCTGTGTGTTGTGTCTGAGGCACATTGTCTCGGACAGCGTTCTGCATGATGTCTCCCACTGTTTTCCAGTGATCATCTTTAATTCGCCTTCACCGTTCCCATGGCCATGATGCGTGTAGAAGACACTCTTTCACGCACGCGTAATTCGCTCCAGCGTAGCAGAGGCCGCGCTGGTTGTCGTCCTGCTTGAGTGTCTCATTCATGAACACGTTAGTCATGACTGCACTACCCTCGGTGTTTGGTGTACACAATCGTATCCATAGTGTCATGCTTCGCAACCATTATCAACTGAAATGTCTGCGGGTAGCCGTGTTTCAATTACGATTACTATCTTTTGATCAATCTAAGAGCATATATTCGTTGTTTGCAACAGCATACCCCATGAAATTTGTTCAAACTCAGTTGGCCAGTAGTATGCAAACTCGGGTCTGCAAACCTTTCACCTCTGTAGTGCATCCAGTCAGAGAGACCAGTATCTTCGTGTCTTGTGCCGTACGCTGCTGATAGCGGTGCGTTTATTTTCGCATCTTCGTGGTTGCTTCACAGATGTAGGTCGTCTCTCGCAACATTTATTGTGACCAGAGAGATCGTTCATCATCCTGTACCAAGATGAATGGCCTCAGATAGGTCTTGTGAAATTCTGACGCCCACAGATATCCGAGATTGAGACTAAAATTTGTAGTGTGCGACGGATGAGGCACTTCAGAGATGCAAGTTGTCATGGTGGTTTGATGGCCGGTGTTACGTGATCGTCTTCGTCTCTGTTGCTTGAGCTTTATGCAAGCTACATATAACCAGCTTATTTACGACATAAACTATTGTACCGGATAATCATGGACGAATCAATCAAACCGAGGGTCTCTATAATGTGAGGAGGATTCCTCCGGCAATTAACACTGTTAAGTACCATACATAAAGCTCAGACAAATGACAATTAAAATTCTTCTAACTTCTGGTTATACTAATTCATGCATATGTTCTGACGATAATTCTCTCATCTAATCTTAGAGATTTCCTTTGTACTATCGTTTAATAACTTCTGTTTCGGCTCACTTACCGAGATTTATTACAAACAAATTTACTGACAAGCTCTAAAACACTCGAATCACAATAAATATCAGAATAAAACAATCTGAAGCTCAGTAAGTTTTGAAATTCACGTATAAAGAGCCAGCGAAATGTCATTTCCTACGAATAAACAAAAGTACTAGCTCATTTATTCCGTCTGTAGACCATTCGAAGCTACTGCCGGTCCCAAGCCTGGATAAAGAAGGAGGGATGGGCATGGGTCTGGCGACCCATTTCTTCAAGAATCTAACTTGCAAAAAAAACGCTAACCAGAAGAAATAATTCAAACCATCTTAATTCTGCCCTGGGATTTGGAGGAAGAATTATGACATTGTGTGATAAAAGCCAAGTTGCCTCGGAAGTCACGGAGCCGATGTCTCTTCTGACAACCTGAGCAACCATTCTTTTACGTACATGGAACGTTCGTACATTGTGGTAGACTAGAAGACATTTTCAAGTTGCTGCACACATGAAAAGGTAAACCTTCGAGGTGCTCGGCATCAGTAAAACGCAATGCACAGAGCAAGGACAACTGAGACTAGCTAGCTAGTTAACATCATACGGAATTCCGATGTTGGATTCAACTGCAAAATCGTATACGACGGACAGCTAACAGACTCTTTCGAGGTGAAGACCAGTGTCAAGCAAGGTTGCTTACTCTCACCCTTTCTCTTTCTCCTGGTAGTCAAATGGATTATGAAGACGTCAACATCTGGAGTGAAGCACGGTATTCAGTGTACAGCTAGGACGCAGCTGGACCTTCTGGACTTCACAGTTGACATGGCTCTTCTATCGCACACGCAACAACAAATGCAAGAGAAGACGACCAGGGAAGCAGCATCCTCTGAATCAGCAGGTCTCAACATACATAAAGGAAAAAGCAAAATCCTCCGACGCAACACAACATGCACCAAACAAATCACTCTCGATGGAGATGCCCTGGAGGAAGTTAACACTATTACATATCTGGGCAGCATCATAGGAAACTAAAGTGAATCCGATGCAGATGTGAGGCCGCAGATTGGCAAACCAAGAGCTATATTTCTACAGTTGAAAATATCTGGAACTCCAAACAACTTTCAACCAAAACCAAAATCTGGATTTTCAATACAAATGTCAAGACAGTTCTACTGTACGGAGCGGAAACTTGGAGAACTACGAAATCCATCACCCAGAAGACACAAGTGTTTATTAACAGTTGTCGACGGAAAATATTTCGCATTCCTTGGCCAGACACCATCAGCAACAACCTACTGTGGGAGACAATTAACGAGATTCCAGTGGAGGATGAAATCTGGAAGAAGCGGTGAAATTGGATAGGACACACACTACGAAAAGCACCAAACTGCGTCACAAGACAAGCACTCACATGGAATTCCGAAGGCAAGAGGAAAAGAGGAAGGCCAAGAAACACATTACTCCGAGAAATAGAAAAAGATATGAGAAGAATGAAGAAACATTGGACAGAACTGGAAAGGGAAGCCCAGGACAGAGTTGGTCGGAGAAAACTGGTGGGCGGCGCACGCTCCATAGGGTAGAACAGGCGTAAGCAAATACTAACTCATTGATCGTGTATTGATCATGGGATGTCCACGAAAGAGTGAACTAGCCTAGCTAGTAGATGCGGGGAAAATCTACGGCGATCTAATGCACATGCATGACTTGGCAACTTCCGTTTGTGTACGTCAATTGCAATGTAGAAAAATATTTTTGACGGTTCATCCCACTCTCTGGCTGGTGGATAAAAGATGGCTCTAATATTTCAACAGCCAGAATTTCCAATCAACCAGTTTGACGTTAGCAACTACAACGTTTGCCGGAAATGTGTTCTTTATCTGAGTTAAATTGCAGTTACCAGACTGTCGATCAGAAAGTATCGTGTAGCACATAAAGCTATCAATTTCGCATTGAATATCTCGATGCAGCCTCCTGCAACCATCTCGATAACAGCGCTGAATGCTGTCAAGTACTGTTTACCCATTTTGTAAGACTCGGACGGTGCATCCGTTAACATACTTGTATGTGCATTTGTGTCGTCGTAAAAGAACATAGTTTACAAACGATTGGTTACTTAATATATAACTTATACGAATGCTCCTTAGACAAGACTGAGCAATATAAGTATTCGATATACTCAAATGAAGTGAATAAGTTTAACTTGCGGAAATTTATTATTCCTCAGCAGTAATTGCCAAACGTTGATGGATAGATTGTACGGTTCAAGTGATTTGCAGATGAGAAAATCTGTGAAATAAATATATCGCTCTTAATGCTAAACCCAGATGTCGCTTTCTGACTTCTAGAAGCGTACTTTATTTAGCTGTCAAAGTGAATGAGCAGTCAACAATGTTAGAATGTCTGTCATTGTTCAGTTGATTTCAACGTACACAAATCCAGCTTCTTACTTTGACTTCTCTTCTATCCACCTGACACTGTACAACTCTTCCTTCTTTTTCACTGTGCTCCTTTTATGACGACATTGTGCAGCTGTAATACTTTAACACGAGCCACCAACTCACAAGTACTCTACATCTTGAACATCAAATTGTTATTTAGAATAAAATTGAATATACCGTATAATCATCATACATATCGATGGTCAAATGTCTCGAAGTAGTAATTCTATTGCAAAGCATAACGAATAGACAATAATTGAAATACATATACATAATCGAAATAAATATCATCGCTTACCACTAATTTACAATGACTTAGCAATATCACGATTCTACGATTTTGTTTGAAGAACCACAAATGTTCACTATTTTCAATGGCTGGTATTTCAATTAGGAAGAATATATTGATCATCCGTATTTATGACCTCACATACAAACTGATATATTGCGAGAAAATAGTGAAAATTAGAAAGACTGAGATGGATTTAACTGTTGGATTTTTCAGGTAGTCACATTCTGGATGCGTGCCTGATCGCATTCGACACTCGTCAAGCTACCGATGTCAGAGATGTCACTGGATTGTGATAGGAATATCTACGATTTGAAACACTATTGAGTTATCTATTACGTTACTGAAAAACACAAACTCTTACGAGTAATCATGATAAATGTAGATAAGGCTTATCATTTAAAGCTCTAAATCTGATCTGTTTGCATAATGTCCGTGAAGTCATTCTGTGTGAATCATCTTAACTGATGGTCTTTTTTCAGTTCAACGTTAAAGCTAGTGAACAAGGATACCTGAAAATATTTCGTTTCGAAGATCGATTTTTACACAAATATATGTCACTGTAAAAATTATCAACAACGATTACTTATAATCTGAAATTGCTTCTTTCATATATCAGATAATCGTTCGCATTTCTTGCAAATGAAAAGAGGCGGAGGAATTTCTCGATCGTCGAAATGTCTGACAACTATGATTTCTTTTCTGAGTTGTGCGGTCGACTGAAATTTGTTAACCGTGTTTAAACTTTTGACAATTTGGTTATTATCGCTAATAATGAAACACCGAAGTGAGTGAGACTTTAAAGCCCGTTTGTGCAAAGTCTATGTTTAGATCTGAGGATGTTTCAGTTTTCCGTACTTCAAAAACATACGAAGATCATATTGTGATAAAACAATTAGACTAAGACAAATATGACATTCATCAGTGAATTCAGGCAATTCTAAGTTGACTTGTGTCATTACAGATCCTGACGTAGATAGATAGATACTTGTAGGAGCGAAATAGAACGGAATCTGTTTCACTGATTCGGTCAAACTGATATTACGAAAAGAAGCCTCATCAGTTGAAGTATAAATGACACTGAAATTGGTGCTTCTCGATTCGCATGAGACATGCGTCAGCGAAATAAGTAGAATCATAGACATTATGACTAAGGTTGCTGAAGAAAGAGAAAGCGTGGTTAGCTGTGAAATCCAAGAAGCCTATTTATTCACAATTCTACGTAAAGATCACCGATAATAAACTTGCTAGCCCTCTGGTACAATCTTTACAGTAGTAATGAAATGTTTGTACTTAGTGTTTGCGAGTTTCAAATAAGACTACAGTGTTCATGAATCGAAATCGCTTTCTAAACAAACACTGCAGTTCTGGAATTTCTGAAGTCTACCTTCGTTGTATTATCATTGATAACACATTTATTGAGGCTGTTTCCTATTTTTCCGCAAACATATCAGAACATAAAACGACTAAAATATCAATTTTTGCAAGGATCATGAGTTCACTTGCAGAGATATCAATGCGTTTTTGATAGAGTTTCGTTCAAAAGTTTTCGTGTCGTTTCATATACGCTTTCTTAATGCACAAAATAGTGACATTTCACAGATTTATTTGACACGTGGAACAAAGTCTTCCATCTTTCGGCTACTTAGTCTATAAATCACATAACGTAGAGTTTAATTGACTTCCTATTTGATCATCTGCGAATCTCAACACAATTTAGACTGGAACAAATTCACAGCACTCACCAGCACTAAAATACTTGATTGACGTCTGTCAATTAGTGAGAGATTGCAAGAGGAAACGTAAACTCGTTCAATTTGATCTGTGGTTAGCTGGTAAATACATTCATTTAATTTTTCAACATTTTTTCGTCCAGATCATGTAATTTTACATTTGAAATCATCAATCAATTATCGTTAGACCACCACCGGAAGCCTAGAAGCGTTCGACGGCCGTAACGTCCTGATACGGCACACATCAACAGTGCGCATCCACGACTCCTGCACCTAACAGGAATCGAATTACGGACCTTCAGTCTGACCTTCAAACTTCAACCTTCTGGACAACTGGGCCTTCATCCAACGGTTTCAATGTCTAACTCTGATCGATCTATGGATTTCGCGTGACCACACCAATTTGTATTTGGTAGTTATCTCTTACAACCGACAGGGTTAAAAACCAGTGGTCATGTCTTCCTACTGGAACTCCGAGAAATTCCTCACGAAGCTAGTCACTAGTAGATACAATGTATACTGTCTTGCAAACAGTATTCAAATGAATTTGTTCTGGTGATATGAATTTGTAAACAGACTATTACATCCCTACATAACATATCAGCAAGATCGAAATTTTTATTTAAATGTCTCTCAATAATAATTACAATTCACTCTGTACAGTCAATCATAACTTCTTCATTCTCTATCAATACTGTA